ATATATAATAATTTAATAAATACATACTATATATATATATATATATAATATATACATATATACACACACACACACTCACATATATATATATATATATATATACACACACACACATATATATATATATATATATATATATATAAAACTATTTATACGTCGGTAGTATCATTTAAGGATGTGCAAGTTCGTCACCGAATTTTTACAGTATGCTGGAATCGAGAAAAAGCGTGACTCAGTACCTAGGTATAAGGTGTCGCGATTTTATGTAGACTATACAATAGGGTAGCTCAGAAACGACCAAAGTGTGGGACTTACCTTTTGGATTCAAACGAAGCATTTCTTCGAGCACAAATTCACCGGTGAAACCTGTGCATGTCATGTAAACCAGGTTTAATGTAAAGATTAACACTACGATCGGCGAAACTTGGATGCCTACGAGATGGGAATGAAAGACAATCGACATTACACACTGCAGATTGACTACGTACCAGTGCATCCGAAGACCACATAATCGTGTTGCCTCGCCATTGTTAGTTCGTTTGGGTGTAGCGTTCTATCTTTTAGTTAAGTATTTATATACTTGTATGGCGCACAAGTCTTATATCACAGTAGTCTTAAATCACAGCATGCTATTTATATGTTTATTGACATGCAAACCTATATCCGGCCAAACTTTTAACAAAAAATGTCACATGATAGGCCGACGGATATGTCCTACACTTCTGTCTCTAGCGAGAGTCTTAGATCCTACCCGCCAATCGGGTCTGATCGCCGATTGGCCGTACATATTCGTTGTTCGTACACGGCCTACTCCTCTGAAAATATTCTGTTTGAAAATTGTCCAAAAACCGGACGGACACCGCTATTTCAGAAAAATCCAGCCAAGTCCTCAGTCCTCCCACAAACTAGAAACTGTATTTATGGAAACGTCCTTGAGTAAGAAAAAAATGTAGCGCACACAGAACTCAAGGGGTTTTCTAGAGTAGGTTTTTCCAAAAAAGGTTAGATGTTTGGGTCTTTGCCTCTTTGGGACTTTGATAATATATATAGATGCGACATTATTAGAGTCGAGGATGCATACTTGTCTAAACTATGCTATTTAAATATAAAACATAGCCTTCTAAATTATACAGGCTATGCTTATAACCCAATTGTTAGGGTTATAAAATATATGTAATAGTATGTTATTGGTGCAAGAAAATGTAAGCGGTGCACTTGTCCATATTTGAATTGATGGATGGAAGTAAGCAGTGTAAGTAGTTGAAAGCATACATAAGTTTATGTGATGTGTTACACTTAAAATTTTATTTACCTTAAAATACTGCAAGTAGAATACTTGAGTATGGAAAGTGACTATAACCATTGATTGATTAAGCTATTAGAAATGGTATGAATACAGGAAAATATATGATGTAGACAATTAATGAGAGTCAACATCTCGTATTTTAGACTGTGTAATAAACAAAGGGTTTCCACTTGCTGAAGTGGTTTCCTTTACGAAAGTAGTTTGCCTGCACTATATTGATCATAAGCGCACTACAAATATACGAAGACTCTATAAGTTAAGGTATTTATCTGATAGTGAAGATATGAGTCAAAGTGAGACAGCTAAGGAACGTCATGGTGTTTACAAAGGTATTTACTAATTACTACCAAGTTTGGAGGGAGACGTCATGAATTTTTGGATGATTGGAGTAATCTTCGACATGCCATCACAGGGATTGGATTGATAAAGACGTGGCTTCGAAAATCGAACCTGACTCGATGAAAAGACTTGGATGCAATTTTGCACCAGAGTCTCACATCGGAATTTGAGAGTAAAATTAAGTCAGTAGTACCCAGCTGGTACCCACTGAAATAATTTCCACGGAATGGACGATGGCATTTGCTCTTTTGGAGGCATGATCCAGAGTTGAAGACTTGAAGACTTGAAGCCTGAACTTCTGAAGGTGCAATATTTTAAAAAAGGAATTTGAAGTGTACAGCTTCAGCCTTCAGGCCTTCAGCCTTCAAGTGTTTTATTTAGTAGGCTACATTTTAATAATTCAGTAATTAGTAATCCTGGCTGCATATAAAATACAAAACTGGCGGCAGGCGCAGCTGCAGGCCCGCAGCCCTAATGCACTATGGTAAAAGGGATATAGATTATAGAAGATGTAACAAAGATTGGCACCGTCATTTCAAAATTACAGTCAAGTCTTCAATCAAACCGAAAAATGTATTTATGAAAACCATGAGTAAGAATAAAATGTTGGCACAAAGTTTTGAGTATTCCGAATGTAACCTAATGAAAATTAGTCTATTTTTTGATCTTTTTTTTCGTTTTTTATTAGGGTTTAGGGTTTAGGGTAAGAGATTGATGGCTCCCTGCCTCTACCATTGCCCCGAAGGGGTAGGGTAATCCTATTGCCCCGAAGGGGTACCGAAGTTGTAGGAGGGTACCGGAAATATCTCTCAATAAGTATGAATGTGATTGATTGCCTAAAAATAAAAGTGGATTAATATTCAAGTTAATTTGAACTTTCCTGCGAGCGGCGAGCCCCGCTCGCTAGTTCAAAGGGAAAATATTTTTCATAAAACGTAAAGAAATTTTCTTTTAGACTTTTATACATAACGAAAAATGTACTTGTGCAAACGTCCATGAGCATAGCCTTCTGTTCTATTTTCAGAAGACTATGCCATGAGTAAGAAAAAAATTGTTGGCACACAAGTTTTGAGTATTCCGAATGTAGCCTAATGAAAAACATTCTATTTTTGAACCTTTTTTAATATAAAAATATATCAAAGTTTCATGATAAAACGTAAGTATTTACAAGGTCACGTACACTGTTATTTGCATTTCTCTCCTTGGTCTCAAAGAAGGCCTCGATCTCAGAACCAGACGGGAAACTGAATATTTACTGCTGCGGTCTGCCGTCTGCCCCCCAGTCCTCCACACGCCCAACTCCCTACTACTATTTATGTAATATTATAGAGACTAGAGAGTGAGTAGAGTGTAGACAATCGGGTGAGTAGCGAGAGGGTCATGATAATTTTTGAGGATATAGGGCGGGTTGCAGTTGCCTTATATAGGTGGGCGGCGACCTTTTGTTTACCTTTTTCTCATTTGCTCTAATGTGTCATGACACATTCTAAATAAATAACATGTAGTTACGCTGTTACGTGCTTGCACGAGTATTAATAACAATCACAATACAAGTATATTTAATGTATATATAATATTTAATGTATATATAATACACACACATACCACTGTAAAATATAATATATATAAAAATAAATACGTGTATATACTACTTCAGCTGTCAACATTTGATTAGTACATATATCAAATATTCGCTTGGAGTAGACTTCTATATGAGACTTCCTCGAGACTGCCTTGATCTTCATCTGTGTTTCTTCAACTGTATCAAACATGAGGTATGTGATGTTTATGCGATGTTTGTATTCGCATAGACAACACGAACGTACTACATAACCGCATAGATTACCTTCCGTATAAAGAGACTTATTTTGACCTATAAAATCTCCGGTTCATTTGTGATTTTGAAAGCATGTATAAATTGTGTTAGTTAGATTTAAGGCCCCTGCCATTGCAATCAAATTAGTCATTAATATATATACCTAACCACCAAGGGAGAAATGGTGGAAACAATATGTACATAATCAAACAAGGGTACACATACTAATACGCGCACCTTTACACAGACAGACACACAAAATCTCACACACCAACACTTCAACGTATATACACACACACA